ATAAAAATTATTTCAAGAAAAAATTATTTGGAAAAAAAAGTAATTGAAATAAAAATTAATTGAAAAAAATTAATTTAAAAAAAATATATTTGAAAAAACAAATTAATTGAAAAAAAATTTAATAATTCAATTTCTGAATTGAATTTTAAAAAGAGTTTGGTTATAAATGTTGATCAAAAATTTCAATTGAGTTTTGAGTTGTATGTTTGATTAAGATTTATAACTTTTTGAATTAAGTTTTGAAAATTCATAAAAAAACTCATAACTAAACAAATTTTCTCACTTCATATGTCACATTAAACTTTCAAAACTCAATCCCACGCTCAATTTAACACTTTATTCAAAAACCATAACTAAACAAAATTTCTACACTAAAATCCAGTGGTGGAGCCACATGAGGCCTGGGGGGGTCACGTGGGCCCCCGGATTTTTGAATTTTTTTTTTACATATGTATATAAATAAAAATTTTAAATAAAAATAATATTTAGAATAAAATGTCAAGGCATTTTTAAATTTATGAAAACAATAGTGATTGTTTTATTGAAAATGAAATGACTATAACAAATTATATTTGTATGTATGAAAATTTTATAAAAAAATCTCAATATAAAGGTAATATTTATCATTATTGATATGTAAATATAATTAATCTCACTATATATATGTAAAAATTACTAAGAGTGTGGGATCTACGTATGAGTTTCACACCCATGTAAAATATTTGATAAAACATTTAGGCCCCGTTTGTTTTCAGAGGTAGAATGGAGGGGATTAATAGTGAGGGGATTCAAAGTGGGAGGATTAAATAAAATTGTATTTGTTTTGATGATAATTGTTAGTATAGAAATTGTTAAATTATTTTTATATAAAATAATAAAACAAATAAAAAATACAAAAAATTAAACATTAATGTTAAAAAAAAAATGCCCAACATGTAAAAAATAAAAAATAAAAATTTCTAGTCTCCTCAGTATTTTTCTAATACCACCTCCACATCCTTCATCTCAATCTCCCTTCCAACCTCCATCTTAATCCCCTCCTCCATCCTACTCTTTTTCTCATCTCTACAAATAAATACAACACTAAATGAGCCCCACCTCTATCTTAATCTCTTCTCACCCTTTACACCCAAAACAAACGGGACCTTAGGATTAACATTTTTCTTAAAATATAAATTTAAGGAAACCAACCCTTATCGCATTGCATCATGGGAGAGGGATGGTCCAACAATCAGCTCCTAAACAGTAAAGTTGATCATTAATTGCAAAAATACTTTTACAAACATTATTAATTGAGTAATCTATCCTATATATTGAGTAAAAAAGTGTTTTTAACTCCCAAAGCTTATGGAAGTTCTAATATGTCAATCTTAATTTTTTAATTTTTTGTTTTTTTAAAAAAAAATAACCTCAACATTTATTAATTTCTCTCAACCCACAAGATTTTTTTACTTCTCTCATAATTATTGCAGTACCTTTTCCAAAACAAATAATTTGTATATTGAAAAAAATTTAAAACAAATATAAATATCTCAATCTATATCTATCTATTTATTTATATCTATCTCTAATCCACAAGTTTTGTGGGAGTTTCAATATCTAAACCTTAATTTCTTAATTTTTTTGATTTTTTTTGAAAAAAAAGAAACTTAACATTTATTAAATTCTTCAAAATCTTTTTAATTTTTTCAATACACACACTCTTTTTAACTTTTCACATACCTATTGCAAATAGTGAGTCTCCTTTTTGTTTTCTCCTTCTTGACTTCTCACTTCTACACTTTCAACTTCAGTAACCACGTAAGCAAACAGTAAGTCTTCTTTTGTTTTTTCTTTCTTGACTTTTCTTTTTGTTTCAACTGGTTTCTAATTTATAGTGTGATAGCGGCATAACCTCTGAAATCATTTTGTGATTTGTCTAGCGCAATTGAAAAAAATTATTAATTTTGATTTTCATATATTTATGATTGAAGTTAGGGATGAAAAATAAATAAATCTTCACAAAGAGAAAAATGTGTGATATATAATTAGTTAGAATGATCTATTTTTATTTTTTTTTATATAAATTGATTGGTAGTTAGTTTAATAGTTCTTTTTTTTTTGCATTTATTTATTTTATTATGGGAAAAATGTGATGTAATTGTAGTTTGTTCAATGGCTCTTTTTTTTAATATGATTGTTGTAGTTTGTTCAATGATTTTTTTTTAATGTTATTTAATCTTTTTATTTACTATTTTAATTTTATTTTTAATATGATTGAAATTAAATAAACATAAACACTCACAAAGAAAAAAAATGTGATTGTAATGTGATGTGATTGTAGTTTGTTCAATGGCTCTTTTTTTTAATATGATTGTTGTAGTTAGTTCAATGATTTTTTTTAATGTTATTTAATCTTTTTATTTACTATTTTAAGTTTATTTTTAATATGATTGAAATTAAATAAATATAAACATTCACACAAAGTCTTTCTACATGCCAGCATTTATTGATTTGGTCAAAATTCTCTGATTGCAGTTAGTCAATGGTTCTTTTATTTATTTATTTATTTATTTTATTATGAGAAAAATGTGATGCGAATGTAGTTTGTTCAATGGTTTTTTTTTTAGTGTGATTTAATCTTTTATTTACTATTTTAATAGTTTTTCTTTACAATTATTTATGAAAAAAATATGATTGTAATTAGATAGCATAAAAATATTTGTGATTTGATTTGATTTGATTTTTTTCTGATTTGATTTTTAAAGTACCAATTATTGATAATGATTAGATTGTATTTTGAAAAAAAAAATTGTAATTGATTTTTTTAACTCACTGTGTTTTTTGAAAAAAAATTGTAAGTGATTGTAGTTTGTTCAATGGCTCTAAATAATCTCAATTTGAATTTCTAAATTTTTTATTAAAAAAAAAAAACTCAGCATTTATTGATTTGGTCAAAATCCCCTGATCAACATTTATTAACTTTTTTCAATTCACATGTCTTTCCACATGCCTGCATTTATTGATTTGGTCAAAATCCCCTTATCAGCATTTAAAATTCCCTGATCAGCATTTAAAATCCCCCCATACAAATAATTATAGATACAATCTCTGTATAGTTAGTACAGCACCCTTTTCAACTTCTCTCATACACTATGATTAGTGATAAGATTGTTAAATTATTTTTATAAAAAATCTTAAAAAAACATAATTTATATATTAAAAAAAATTTACAATCTGTGTAATATTACATATCTTAAAAGTTTTATTAAAATTTTTATTAAATATTTCATATGAGTGTGGAACTCACACGATGTGAGTCTCACATTTATATAAGATATTTAATAAAAATTTTAATAAAATTTTTAAAATTCCTAACATTTTTATTATTAATTATTATTGTTGACTATGAAAATTGTTTCATCCCATTTATCAAATCAAATAATTGGTACAAACATGTGCTCAAATTAAATAATTGGTACAAACATGTGCTTGAGTATTTGCATCATTCTCCATGTGAAGGTGCATGCATTTATGCCACAAATAAATTGCTCTTTTGACCAGTAAATGCAATAACCTAATATCTTTTTATAAATTAGTGGATGGAAATTTCTAAGAAAAAGCATACAAGCACCCGCAGGGTTTGTGCTCAGAATTGCGTGAAATTTAGTGGAATGATGAAAAATGCGGCTCTTTTTAGACAATTTTCATGGTTTAGACGAATTGGGATCCTCCCCTTGAGGCCCCTCCTTCATTTCCTCCTTGCAAGGGCCTTCGGGTCTACTTTGAGGCCCAGTTTTGATAATCCGAACCGTTCATATTTTTAGATTTATTCAGTATATTATACCTGTAAAAAATCAAGTTGATCAAATATCATAAAGTATGTGTTCGGAAAACTGTTTATTAAAAAATAGTTTGTAGTCCCAATTTTCTGAACGCATACTTTCTGATATCCGATCAACTTGATTTTTTACAGGTATAATATACTGAATAAATCTAAAAATATGAACGGTTCGGATTATCAAAACTGGGCCTCAAAGTGGACCCGAAAACCCCTGCAAGGAGGGAATGAAGGAGGGGGCTCAAGGAGGGAATCTGGACTCGGTTTAGACGGTCAAGTTTTACGACTGAACAATTTAGAGAATTAATTAATTTTGAGTTTCTATTCTTTTTTTAATCTTGGGTATTGAATCAATTATTGTTGAGTTTTTAATGTCTGTATTTTTTATGAATTATTGAATCGAAAGAAGAATTATACTTATAGTTATTGAATTGTTGGCCACCAATCTCACCTAAAAGTTTAAATCCTTAAAGAGAAGGGTAATTTTACTAATTATATACCACATTTTCAATACACCCTCTCACGTCACGTGTGGTTGGGCTGTTCTCCATAAATGAGCTAAACACATGCAAGTATTTTTAATAATTAGGAAGACAATGAGGTTCAACATAAGATCTATTGTTTATTTTAATATCATATTGAATTGTTGATTACAAACTCATCTAAAAATTTAACATGTTAAAGTGAGAAAGAACTTTATTATTTATATTGTACTCTCAACATGAGTATTCATCTTTAAATCAATGAACTCTAAAGTTGTTACAATTACGCGTTGCAGGCTACATCACAGTGTTGGAGTTTTTTTTTTTTTTTATCGGCTCAGTGTTGGAGTTGCCAAGGCATTGGAAAAAAAACGAAACAACAATACTGACTTATCCATTAACATCGTTACTTTCTTCTTATATCTTAAGGGCATGTTTGATTGGGTGGATTAGAGTGTGGGATTAGGATTATTAATTCGTGGGCCCAATTATCCTATATTTGTTTTAACATTTTTGTTTAGGATTATTAATCCAATGGATAATTAATCCAACAAATTTGTAGGATTATTAGTAATAGGGTAGGGGTGGGATTATTAATCCAATGGATATTAATCCAATTGGATAGTGAATACCACACTAATTTACTAGGACTATTAATACTTCACTATTAATATTGTGAATCAAACATGACCTAAATGACATACACATTAACTTGTTCATCTGCAATCACCACAGCACACTACTAAAGAAATTAAAATCTGTCACTACCAACTAATGTCTTATTCTCCATTTTATTTTTTTAGAAAAAATATTTTCCATCAGAAATAAACAAACTGTTAGTAGGGTACGTAAGCACTAGATTATATATAAATTTGGACAAACTTAACCGATTTTCTCTTCAAAATCGAAGTCATTTAGAAGATCATAGTAGAAACCAGACCCTACTAAACCCATTAAAAACCCATCATCATCTTGTGCAGCTCCTCCTCCTCCATTTCCAGGCCACAACCCATCTTTGTTTTCGAATGGTGAAAGACTTGTGACTTCTTGAGATGATGTAGATACTCCTCCAGAGCTACAAATATATGTACTTGGGCTGCCACTCTCTGGAACTTGAATCGGGTCTGAAAGCACGACTTCTGGAACTAGATTTTGTTGATAGTTGGCATTAATCATTGCATGTTGTAACACACCAGAAGTGCTCGTATTGGAACAATCTGAATTTCTATGACAATAAGTATTGAGTTTAGTGTTGGTGGTGGATTTGAAGGTAGTGTTCTTCAAGAGTAGCTTCTTCTTCAACTTGGTGTTCCAATAGTTCTTCACATCGTTGTCTGTTCTTCCTGGAAGATGGGAAGCTATGACCGACCACCTAATCACCAGTAAGAAGAAGAGTTTTACCAAACATCTCAATTCAAAGATCACCAAAGAAAACTAAAGGAAAAGATGAAATATATATATATCGATAATACTGTGATAGAATAAATTTTTATATTAAATTGGGTGATCATATGATATGTCAATCATCATCACTGCATTGGTGTGCAATGAATCCACTTTCCATGCATTGTACTAATATTAGATGACAGAACATGTGCTTTTCTTTTTGAACATTCTAGTAATGACTCTGCATGTGCCATGTGCAAAATTGGATTACTTTAAGATGTGATTTTCTTACATTTTTTTCCCAAACAATTATTCTTGGAAATAGTTTAAATAATTGTATGTTTTTATTTGGATTTTACTTTAAGTAAATTAGATTGGGTGAGGTAGGTGGTTCCTCCTGCAGGTAGCTAGTCTCCTCCACTCTCTCTTCTTTCCTTTTGTCTCTGGTTGTAACTATTTCTTTATATAATAATATTTTTCTTCTTTGCCAATAAATAAATAAAAAAATAAATAATAATAATATAAGTGATTTAAACTTGCCTGCTTCCCATATTATGGTATAATGACAATATGATGTTGTCTTCCTCTTCAGTAAAACCTCCATGCTTGATGTTTGGCCTAAGATAGTTGAGCCACCTTAAACGGCAACTTTTACCACAACGCATAAGTCCTGTTAAATAAAATCATATATTAATAATGTGGTACTTATGTAAGCATGAGAAGAATAGTTAGTACAAAAATTTTAAAAAAATATTACAAAATTGCGAAAAATCTTGAAAGATGAAAACCCCTCTGCCATACAATATAGAAGCTAGAAAAGAAGAAAAAGGTTTTGATTTCTAAAAGTTACCTTCTTTGAAACAAATTGAACACACACACCATGATCTTTTGGAAAAGGAGTGAATACATGCAAAATGATTTACCTCAAAGAAATATTAGCAAGCTCTTTTTCACAATTGGTAAAAAGGGATGGTAACCTACATCGTGCAATAATGAGGGTCGAATTAGCAATTTTATTTTGTTTTATTTTTGTTATGAGGAGGAACCTCCTCAAGGCAAGACCATATTAGATCCACCCCTTCCTTGCAAAATAAACCTTGGACCACATCTATCGACATGGACGGAACTCATAGCCATCCTGTTTTTGTGAACATTATATATATCATTTTATATATAAAATGACCCATAGTATAAAAAATATATATGTCATTCTTTTTTCATCTTGAATTTTCTTTCTATTTTACATCCCAAAAAAAAAAAAAAACTTATTCATCCTATTAAAAATTGCTTCAATGATATTTAATTTTTTTTTATGAATATATAATTTATATATAGTACATATATATACATGTGTATTTTGTGTATATGGTGAAAAAAAATTATTTTTCTTTTGGCCTCTCCAATAATGAAATTCTGATTCCGTCATTTTCTTTCTATTTTACATCCAAAAAAAAAAAAAAAAAAACTTATTCATCCTATTAAAAATTGCTTCAATGATATTTAATTTTTTTTTATGAATATATAATTTATATATAGTATATATATATACATGTGTATTTTGTGTATATAGTGAAAAAAAATTATTTTTCTTTTGGTCTCTCCAATAATGAAATTCTGATTCCGTCCTATCTATCGATTAAGTCTAGGAGACACTGGGGAGAGTCGAATCCAAAATATTTAGATTTACAGTTTATTCCAAGTTCTAACTCCTTTGCCACTAGACTATCCATCCGGGTTCATGTAAAATTTAAAAATTAGAAAAAAGAAAGAAAAGAAGAACATGCTTGAACTGCGGTATTATCTTATGTCCAATAAATAACATTTCATCGACTGGACTAGCTATTTATCTCAATTAGCATGCTTTTTGGTAATGAATTTTTGACAATCAGGATTTGAAAAATGGGAATGTAAATCTTCTCGTACAAACAAAAAGATTTTTACAGAGTTGAGTTAAAAAAAAATGACATTGGTGAAGTTGTTCATTTGAAGAGTCTGAATAAAAATAATTAGAAGATCATCAATTAGTGGGAAGAGAGACCTGCTTTTTGTGGTAAAGAAATCCAATTGCTAACAGTGCCAAATTTCTCAATATAGTTCTTGAGAGTGATGTCTTCTTCAGGAGACCATGTCCCTCTCTTAACTTTGGTTTTGTCACAACATGGAGCTCTTCCCATGACCACAGACTCACTGGAATTTATTAACAAAATACCAACAGCAAACCAACATGTAACTATAACCGTGAGATTTGGACTAGATTTTGCTTGCTATTTTTATAACTTAAGAGCAGCAAATCAATGGGATGAGGCTTTAAAGATGGATGGAGAGAGAGAAACAGAAAGAGAAAGAGAACAGGAGGTTGACTTGGTCTGACCCTTTAATTTAATTAATGTGTGTTCGCTCTTCAATGCTTTCCTTTTCATTGTTGGATAAGAGAGAACGTCAGTCAATAGAGTTTAATTCTGTTCACACATGGTTAAATTGTGCAAATAAAATATAAGATAAGAGAGAAGTCAGTCAATAAAGTTTAATTCTGTTCACACATTATTAAATTGTGCAAATAAAATATAAGTTTTGATTGATTTAAAATAATATAATTTACATTTTTAAATGAGATTAATATACTTTCTAGATACGAGACATTACAATTTTGGACAAATTTAATTTTTTATTTTATTCACGTACTCGCAAAGTTTGAGAACAAATTAATCTTCTAGTCAATGTGGATTAGAGCAATCAATTCAAATAAAATAATTAGCCTTTTTTTTTTTTTTTTCAATAGACTAGTAAAGGGATTAGCTAAAATAGCTTTGTGTACTTTGTTAACTACTTGCGTACTGGCCACTTTTTCGTTCTTAAACTATTTATTATTGTTTTTTTCTCTTAAAAATATTAAATGAACATTTTAAAAGAAGATTGTTAAAATAAAGAACATTGTAGAATTTTGGTTGGATATTTTGACTAGTATTACTAGAGATATTAGGCGTAACAATTCAGATGATATCGACTGATAATAGTTTTAAGGGTAAATTACAATTTATCATTTTTATGTTTGATCGCTTTTTCACTTTAATCATTAAAGTTTATTTTTTTTCACTTTCACCCCTCATGTTTCAAGTTTTTCCAATCTACTTCTAAAGCTAATTTCTATTAAAAATTTAACAGAAAATGATACATTAACAATCACATGATATAAAAATATTTATTATATATAACTCACATCTCTAATATAAACTTAAACACTAATATAATAATATATTTTTATGTTATATGACAGTTATTATGACATTTTTTTGTCTAATTTTGAAGAGAAATTAACTTTAAGAGTAAATTGGAAAAAAAACTTAAAATATATAGGGCCAAAATGAAAAAAATAAACTATGAAGATCAAAATAAAAAGGTGATTAAATATAAAAAGGATAAAGTATAACTTACCCTAATTTTGAATAAGGTCAAATGGAGATTACTTGACCAATTAAATAAAATAAGATGATGTTACCGTTTTGCACCCAATATTGATTGGATTTTTTTTGGTGAATCAATATTTGATTGGATTGAGTGTTCAAAGGGAGACATTTCTTCATCAAGGATTCCAAACTGTCAAAAACATGATTTAAGATCCAACTTTGAAAAATCTGAGCATGAGGTAAATTTTTGAACAACAGATCTTTTCTTCGAAGAAGAAATTTATCATTTTTGAAAAAGTAATTCAAAGACTAGTAATTAATGACTAGTAATAATTTCCCTAATATTTTATAGGCAAGTTTATTGACATAGAATGCCTCACAAGATTTTTTTATCAATATGTCATGCTTTTGGGATCAACTTGGGGCCACAGCTTTGGTGTGGTCAAGCAATTCATTGTTCATGGAATAGTCAGTCAACATGATCCTAACAAAATAATAATAATAAAAAGCAAAGCAAAGAAAAGTGAGAGACATAATTGTCAATGCATGTTAACATTGATATGGTGATTTTATAATCATTTCATAAAATTGTAAACCTTCAAATTCTTTGTTTAATAATGTACATTTTATAAATGCATTGAGAAAAAAAGTATGCTCGGCTAAAATTCATTTTGTGAGTTCTAGGTACTTGGCCTCTTGATAATATATATATATATATATATGTGGATAATAATTTAGTTACATTTTGCCTCTATCACTTCAAAACAAATAATCTCAATAAGATTGTGTTTGGATTAATTTTAGTAAGAATTTAAAAAAAAATAAAAAAATAAAAAGATAAGGGAGATTTGAATGAAATATAAGTTAATTTTTGGGGTAAATTATATTGACGCATCCCTAAGGTTTGGTCCGATTACATCTCACTCATTGACGTTATAGAAATTATATTTCTACTCCTGTAGTTAATAGTCTTATCTCACAAACCCCCTACTTATATGAAAAGCTATAAATCTTGGTAGAAAACAACGGAAATTACATTAGAAAAAAAAAAAGAAAAAGTAAAGCACAGGAAATAAAAATAAAAACAGAAGAAGTAAAATAAAGCAAAAAAAGAGAGTGTATGAATTCAATATCTTTTTTATACCAACTAGGGGTGCTCGTGGTTCAATTGCGGTTTGAGAATCTTTAATCCGCCATCTATCCAAAATTAGGAGAATTTGAGAAAATCAATCTGCAACTGTCCGTCGGATTGGCAGATGCAGATTGAACGGATTGGCGAATAAATGTGAATCGGTTTAGTAGTTTAAATTTTACAAATTTTAAACAAAATAAAACTTGTTGATATATATATATATATATTTGATAACAATCCAATCTGTTTTATTAATAATGACTACAAACATAGATAATAATCCAACAAACCTCCATCTTAACGAAGACTGCAAACTATGGATGCTCATGGTTCAATTGTGTCCTAAGAACCTCCAATTCGCCATCCATTTAAAACTAAGCGGATTGGAGAAAATCAAACCGTATCTATTCGCTTGTCATTATGCATTCGTCCAAAATGCAGCCAATCGGTTTGGTTAGGTTGGTTTGAATAGATCGGTATATCCACTAAGCACCCCTAATACCAACATTAATCCTGTTTAAATAATTACAATGAGAGGGGGTCAATGTAATTTTCCAAACGTCATGGGTGATATGTATTAAACTCAAATCTTAGGGGTGTAAGTATAGTTTGTCCTTTTTTTTTTTTACCTTTTTCTCTATTCTTTTCTAAATCTTTATCTAAATTTATGATCTAAACACAGTTAAAGCTATGATCTAATTATAAAAATATTACCATCACATCAATCTAATAGAAGATTTGTATAAATTTTATTTTATTTTTGTAAGATTTACTTATTTTTATAAAACAGAAAAGGGCCAAAAAAAAAAAAAAAAAAAAAAAAATTGAAGAATAATCTCCTTTTTTTTTTTTTTTTTTTTAAAAAAAGCCATAAAAAAAAAAAAAAAAAATATAACTTTCTGTCTTGTAAGTGTTTTCCTG